GAAACAAAAGCATAATGTATATTCTCGTACTTTATAATTCACGAACGCGGAACTTAAGAGCTTAGTTTTTCAGAATACTTTTGGGTTTTCGTGAAACTTTATGACACATTTCAAGCACGTTGTATTCACACATGGAATAATGTATACAAGTCGCCGGTAATGAAAATATTAAGGTCGTGAGAGAAATATTAAAAAAATACAATTGTGAAAGTTTTGAAAAACAAAAGAATAGAGCAATACTTGTACAGTACAATTAGCATCATCCTCACTAAAAGTTTAAAGAAAAACTGAGAGCCATTATTAAGTAATTTTTATATTACATACGTTTTTGCGATGAACATATTTCTCACATTATTATACGAAAACTACTAAAATTTTCGAAGTAATGTGGTTGACGTCAATGATCGAACTAATTAGAGAGAACAAATTTCATTTGAAAAAAATATCTTCAATATTGTAGTTGCGATGAGACGCCGACAAAACTTCCAACTTTTGTAACTTTCAAAAACTAAAACTTAACAGTAATCATCAGACTAATGCCATCTTGAGAAGCGGATTTCAATCTATTCTTACAACAAATATGAAGAAAAAAGTTTTGAGCCATTTTTGAGAAATTTAAAAAGAAATGTCCCAAGGGCATTGTTCACGCACGCACATGGCGTACAACCGCCCGCGCCGCCCCCTCCCCTCTCTGGACCCGCCATCCATTCTCCCCAGCGTTTACCCCTGCAGAACCCACCCCCTTCCACGGCGAGCGGCGGTGAGGCAGTGGCTGCAGCGGTGGCGGCGTCGGAAGGGCTCTGCTGCTTGACGGAAGCGCGCCGCCATCACGACGTGGAAAGGGCGCCTTCCCACGTCGCCACGGCAGCGCGCGTACGTCAATCAGCAGGGCTCTTTGCCGACCCTCCGGCGACGACGGACAAAGGGATCTCAGCAGGTATACACAGCAGCTCTGCGCTGCGGCCGTGGCGCAGTGGGAAGGTTACCATTTAAAGCTATATTCTGCTAGGGGCGGCGGGTACCCCCTCTTCCGCTTCGCGTAGCGAGAGCCCGCCACCGCTTGCCGCAGCAGCGGACGCCCTCTGCACGTGGGAAGGGGCCCTTAAGGGCAGCTTCCCACGGCGCGGCCGCGGCGCGCTTCCTTCAAGGAGCAGAGCTCTTCCGACGCAGCCACCGCCGGAGCCACGGCCGCACCGCCGCCCGCCGTGGAAGGGGGTGGGGTCTGGAGGGGTAGGTTTCGCCGACCCTCCGGCGACGACGAACAAAGGGACCGGAGCAGGTACAACGCTGCGGCCGCAGCGCAGTGGGAACGCTCCCATTTAAAGCTGTGTTCTGCTAGAGGTGGCGCGTGGCCCCTCCTCCGCTTCGCGTAGCTGGAGTTCGGCGTCGGCTGCCGCAGCAGCCGCCACCTGCTACACGTGGAAAGGCCTCCATTCAAACCAATGCTCTGCTTTGAATGGATGCCTTCCCACGTGCAGCGGGTGGCGGCTGCTGCGTCAGCCGACACCGAACTCCAGCTACGCGAAGCGGAGGGGCCACGCGCCACCGCTAGCAGAACACAGCTTTAAATGGGGGCCTTCCCACTGCGCCGCGGCCGCAGCGTTCTACCTGCTCCGGTCCCTTTGTTCGTCGTCGCTGGAGGGTCGGCGAAACATATCCCTTTAGACCTCACCCCCTTCCACGGCGGTCGGCGGAGCGGCCGTGGCTCCGGCGGAGGCTGCGTCGCAAGGGCTCAGCTCCTTGAAGGAAGCGCGCCGCGGTCGCGCCGTGGGAAGGCGCCTTTAGAAGCTCACTGAGTGCTCAGCAGAGAGTGCCATGCCCCGACAATTGGGGTGAGCTCAACATCTTTATTAGCAGGTACCTGTTTCTGCCTCCGAAGTGCCGAGCCAAGCTGCTCAAACTCACATTAAGAAACAGAACATTAATAAGCATTATTTGAATTGAACACTTCTAATCAGTATCAAGAACCATTCATTGGATTTTGTCATTTAATTGCATCAGTTAATGTTATAATTATCATCTGTAAATTATTTTTTAAGTTTTAGATTTAGTTTTTATTAGAAATTCATCGCTCAGGCCCGGCACGCATTTGTATATTGTAGATTTATAATTCTTCTGTTTTCGTGTCTTTTCTTAGATTGTAAGTTTACATTTTATTAATCCAAGAGGCATTATTAATTAAACTAATATATAAGCTATCCGCTTTGTCATTCATCATTCGGCCGATCCTTCATTTCCTCGTACGAGGTGGTCCTCCAGCCATTTATTTTTGTAGCCGTCTTGCTACATTTTGTGAGCTACCGGAGGCCGATATGTGCGTGTGCGCACCTGCAGCTAACAGTACAGTCCACGCTGTCGGCTCATCATAGTGCGTGGCGCCGAGTGATAGGTAGGTACCAGGTGAGTACCGCATCTGAACGTGCTCGCACGACACGGACGCGCGGTGCGCATACAGGCAACATCTTAAGTGTCCCCAATATTTAAAGAATCTTTTTCAAATTCGCAGACAAATGATGATGGCTAAGCCATTGAAAGCTGCTCTTACATTAAATAATATTGTTGGCAATGACAACGTCTTTAATTATTTCATGAAAAATGCCAAAGATATCGCACCACAACACCTATATGCCCTTTATTGATTGAAAGCCGGGCCGTTTGTTTAGAAATTATCGGTAATATAAATTCCCCTATGACAGTGCTGTGATCTATTGAATTTTCTTACAAGTAATTTAGCGTTATTAAAACTAGTATTGGCCAAGAAATGTTAAAATCTATTTTAAATCTATCTTCTTAAGGAATACTGTAAATATATGTAGAACTAATTCCTACATTATTTATTATATTGGCTGGTTTTTATTATTAAAGACAGTCAGTAAAACCAAAAAAACTGAGTCATTCCATGTCAAGCAGTCAAATTTCAAGGTAAGCCTTGTGCAATCATCCCAGATTTTTATGAAATTTTCTATGCCGAGTCCCACATCTCACAAGACAAGTTTTGTGAAGTAGATATAGGCAAAATAGCTTCTGAGATAGAGCAAAATTGTTTGAACCTATTTCCATGTTCAGAGTAAGTATAATATTTGGGCAAATTTGAGGTACAATATTTCTTTCTTCATTTCTAAACAAATAATACCGAACTTAAATTAATAATTATTTGTGCTCTAATCAATGGAACTCATAGCAATTTTGCCTTTACTAACACCCAGATTAATTGCAGCAAAGCTGCAAAAAATACAACTGTTCAAAAATATTAGAAACTTTAGTCTGCAATATTTAAGCTTCAACAATATCAATGAACCATTATTTCTTAATGCAAAATTTCAACATGGTAACTCATACATAATTTACATAATACATAATTTACAAATGAAGTTCATATTTGATGATTTGAACAAAAGGCTAAAAAAAATGTACCTACTTTTATAACAACAAAAATCGGTACCTACAAACATTATCAAACCTACCTCTTTAGGAAAAATTGTTTTTTAAAGCTCTCAGGAAAGTGATTTTTTGTTAACCATCTGAGGCATGTAATGCACAAAGTAGAGTATAAAGTGCTGTGATGTTGTCAAAAGACATGAAGCAATTATTTAAAAATTGAGAGTTCAATGTTGTATAGTTTCCAGAATACTCAAATAGCTCATCTAAAACTCAAGATATCAATACATAATTTATCTCAGAAATATGGAAAATTTTGTTATGTCACATATAAATAACCAAAGATGTCATTACTTGTAATAACACTTGCAGAAAAAATTTACACTTAATGTACTTAGGAGACATCTTTCTGTTACTGCCAATAATTGCCAACTAGAAGTGCATAATTTATAACTTGCTCATTTAATTGATGAAGAAAAACAGTCACTACATAGAAAATATGACATTACATTTTTGTTTACAATAAGTAACATATGCATTAAAACATAAATAAATAGTTTAAATATACCATGTATTACTTACCTTGTGGCCCAGTGTAAGGGAGTGGCCATCAGTTCACCACCCACAGCATCAACAACAGCTCCTTTGCTAATATAATAACGGATGATGTCACGTCTATTATTAATTGCTGCCCAATGCAGTAATGTAACAGTTTCACTGTCCCTCTGATTAACATCATAACCTGCTTCAATGAGTTCCCGACATCGTGCAAGTGATCCATACTACAAAATCAGTACAAATACCCATAAACAAATTATCAGAACACAATATTTGAATATTCCACTTGAGAACATTGGAATTTCTTAAATAGGGCTTCAAGATTTTAACCCCACAGTTTTCATTGAATACTACATGGACTTACTTGTGTAGCTTTAACAATATCAAAACTACTGCAATCATGCTCTTGTACAGCTGTCACTGGCTCTTGGAAAATGGTATTTGAAGGTTCGCCTTGATCACCGCCGCGATAGACTGATGTAGGTTTGCATCCGTCCTACAAATGTTCAAACACGAGAATACGTAGGACATAAAAATGAAAGCTTTCTTCTATGAACAAACGCTTTTAACGCGATGATTACTTAATGCCAAGATTACCTGTGTTACGAAATGTACTGGATTGCAAGTTGGGTCCACTTCGCCGGTAATCATTTTGCTATCGTCCTATGTTCATGTGTTATCAGTGGGAGGAGACTCGCGATTTACCGACACATGACAAAAGCTGACGTTTTCCACAAGTTACCATCAGATTCATTTCCTTCCACTGGGTCTTGCAAATAAACTTACTGCCAATAGACTTGTCAGCATTTTTGAGCCATTTAATTTGAATGATCTCTTTCAAATTTCTTTCTACATCAATATCAGTTGGTCGTCAAAGCCATGGGAATTATTTTGGAAGCATTTAAAGGTCAAAAACCAACTGATCAAAACATGCTACTGTGCGTACAGAACGAGACGTATATCCATGGAAGAGATTTTCTTCTATGGAAGAGGTGTTGTTTATTCTTTGGTATATCCTCTATCAGAACTTTGCAAGTTCTTTGGAGTGACAGAGTATACACAACCCAGAAGAAACGACTGTAGTAATTGGTCCGCGAACGATCATAACAAGGTCGATCAGACACTGCAAGGCGATAAAACTCCTTTATCCTGTAATCTTCCGCGTAACCCATCCTCACACCTAATGAATGGTAGTCACAGTACTATGAAACACACACACAAAGTAAAAGGGCGGAAATCGCTGCAGAATAAACTAACCGTACATTTTAAAATCGGGGTCCATCGGAGATGAAATGACACACCAAATCAGTAATTTTCATTGTCGAAAAGTTATTGTAAATTCAATTTCACTTCGGTACATTTCTTCTTGGACAACATAACTCAGTGCCATTATTTTCCACAGCAACAAGACTTACTGGTCTAAGTTATGAATGTAAAGGAAGTAAAGGAGAATTAAATTTCTTCAAGATTTATTATAAAATCATCAAATGCTCTTGTCCTTAATCCTACAGAAGACAGTAATATATGTAAATTATTTGCAATATTTTTTATGAAATAGATTTGTTTACCTTGTCATGTAAGACTATATCATTAAATTAATACCATGGGTGAACATGACAGTTTAATCAAATCTAAATCACACATTTTGCCCCTTATTTTTTTTACATAATTTGTTAAAAAAAGTCAAAATGTGCACTATGTATGTTCTTACAGATGACATCCACAGAAGGGATTTTCATATTATGTACAAACTTAAGTATGATTTTTAATATTTATGGTAAATTTTGTATCAACCTCCTTAATGTTTGTTGGACACTACCTCTGTACATTGAGCTTGTCAAGTGACATGCAGTAAAACCCTGATTTTAATTTTTTTTTTTTTTTTTGCTTTTGTTTTTTTGACATTTCTACATACGAAAATGCTTACAATCAAGGCATAAATATTATTTACACGCAGTAGTGCTTCTACTGGATATCAAGTGACAAAGCATCAAGTGATAAATTTTGTAGTTGAAAATATTTAATTTCGATTTTAAAAAGTTATATTATACATGTCCCTCCTATAACTTCAATCAAGGTTTTACCGCTTTTTCATTATCAATATTCACTAAATATGCTGGCTTGAATGTAGTTTTATAAATAATATTGCACCAGAAGTAAAGCAAACATCAAGAGATAGAAAAGACATTTTAAATCAAGAATAATTATGATTAATTTTCAAAGGACACAATTTACTCGCATTTATTTGCAACAAAAGGAGGAGACAGTAACAGGTGGAATGTATATTTGATTATCTTCACAAATACTATAAATTCATTCGGGAGAAATATGTAGCAACCATAAACTGCCACCCATTCCCATGTACTGTGGGTAAATATGTAAATTCACAAGTAGGAACTAAAATATATTTGTCTCCTGCTTTCAGTATCCAACTTTTAGAGAGTAAGAAATTATTTTTATGTCATCTTGACTTCTCGTTCCCCATAATTTACAATTATTCAACACTTGTGTTTTCATCAATATTACTGTACAAGAACAACTGTCATAAAAGAACAACATTAATTAATCTAAGAGTATCATGTATCAAAAGAAAACCCAATAAATAATATTTGTAAAAGAAAAGTTTTAAATTTTGACACAAGTATACAACTTTTAAAAATGCTTATGAAACGAGATCAATGTCTTATAAGCATGGCTTGAAATGATCTTTCGAAATCGAATTCCACTTATTTTAGTGGCAATTAATTTACCCCTTAACCACAGCTGAATCAAGTTTTATTGGCCATCATCACAATTAAAGAAATTATCAACCAGAGTGAAGAGTATTAATGTACAATGTACCTCCATTCTTTTCTAATATCTCCAGCAAGACCATCACTAGAACTCTCATTTCAATGGTAATACTATTCAATCCAGAACATTCCCTGAGGTAGTTTTATAAAAAACAACACAGTGAACTGTCAACTACAAAACCACTATCCAATAATCAATTTTTAAAAAATTACTATATTTCACTTATTCTAAATATCAGTGGCTGGCAGAATACACATTCCCTTCCATACATACAAAAATATTGTAATAATGGAATAGTATAAATACTGCAGTTTTGTTGAATTGATACGAGGTAACTAAACCATAAATGACATTTTGTAATTTATCACTCATTTCGAGAAAAGCCCTTTAAAGTGAAGCATCTGTATTAAAGCAAGCAATCCCTTTAGGTTTTAGTTTTATATTCCTTCACACTTAACATTTTGTCTGGCCGAAAAGAAAAGAGAAAGAAAAAACAACTAACAAACAAAAACAACACCCTCCCCAAGAAAAAAATACGCACTTTTGCTAACAGTTGTTATATTATATACCAAAATAACTTTGACAATCCAATTTTTAAATGTTGAGTTATTTTTCTTAAATTATCTAATGCAACATTTGTTAATAACACTAAAACTATCTTCAACTAAATTTGTTTCTCGATTTCTTTTTTATATTGCAAGTCCGCAATATAGAATGTATCACAGGTACAGTTACTTTTTATATTCAACATGTCACTGCAGTTTGCATAAAAACCACAATCTTTTTATGACTAGTTAAATGGTAAATCCAGTCTTATTAACATACAATACTATATTTTGTTGCATTCAATTTTGTTTTCTGATAACATGGCACTAACATGTTAAAACATATAGTTAATTCAAAATTTAGTAGGAAAAACATGTGCCAGCAACAGATTTCATATAAAATTTACACTGAAATACATCAAAAACAGGGTTAGATATAAAGTATACTAACCACATGAAACTTAGAAACCAACTACAAAATGAACATATATATATCTCAAATATATTAACTAATATTAAGTAGGAAAATTAAAAAGAAATCCATCATAAAAACAATTACTATTTCATTACTAGTTTATACAGTGAATTTACAATATGGAGCAGGGAGAATGGGTCCGTGACTAAAACAATCATGCACAAAACAGAACTTTAAAAACAAATTCAAAAATCGAAATAAGACTTATGTATCGAAATAAGATGTTATGAAAACCTCACATTCCTCTGTATAAATGGTGGGACATAATAGAGAAGAAAAATTCCATAGATTTCTGCTATTTCAGAATTACATATTCATGCTTCATGAACGCATTTCTCACAAACAATGCAAAAAGAATTTCCTTAAATTTCTAACAGTTAAATTAATAACCGACAGCATCAGTCCCTCAGAGCGTTAAAGAAATTCACATAAAAAAAAAAATAAATATTTTTAATGCCAAAACAATATGGCCGCACATTATCATGCTTTGTGCCTTAATACTCTGTATGGTTGTTAAAAAAAAGGTCTCCTAAGAGACAATCATTTTTAAAGAGATAGCGAACAGTCACAAGATACATGCCAAGCATGCAGCGATGGTAGTTTTCGAACTACATGAAATTCTTGTTCCAAAGGAATAAGAAATTAAAAGAAGCATTTCAAGCCATACTTTATAAAATGTTAAGTGCCATGTTTAATGAGCATTCTGATTTAACTGCACGGTGCTTGTTGTGTAGCAGCAATTAGTGTCGAGAACCTGAAAACTGCAAGAAACAAGAACTACACTAGTTACAGCCAACACTTTTAGTGCATATCTGTTAAAAAGAGAGATCCCTGCTCTTTTAGCACTTCAAAAAATATTGCCAGCAAGTTTCAAATTTCTGAGTTGTCTTTACATCACAACCTTCTCATTGACAGCTACTGAAGGACTTTATTTAAGCAAGAAATATAGGGTAAGATCAAATATTTAAAAAAATTTATTCAATCTGAGATCCTTTCTGAGCTTTCTTTAATTCTATGGTATTCATAAATATGTCAAAACCTTTGAAGTTCATGGTTTTTATGTAAAATAAAAAAAACAACAACAAAGGATAATATGAAAAATGCAGAAAATAGCTATGAGATTTGTAACAGGATACACTATATTTATAGTGCTTGAAATTAACATAGAAATTGTAAATGGTAATTCACAACTTTCACAGACAATTGAATATATAAAAATTACAAATGTTTCAGACACAAAATAACATAATTGTTGGAATCACACAATCAATTCTCTAACGTTAATTTCAAGAACCACATTTGGGTTTTTAATGATGTATCACTGGGTAATCTTTGAAGACTATCCATTGTTCTTAAAATTCCATACAAGCTATAATGCGCAGTGAATAATGTGAAGTATTGGAACAGTAACAAAACAATTACACATTTTATGTATTTGGGAAGGACATCACAAATACATCAAGTTTTCTGTCAGCCACTCATCTGCTCTTTAAAAATATTTATTTTGCACTCCCATAAAACCACATGGAAGAGTCCACATTTTAAAAGCTCAATCAGCAAACACTAAAACAGGTCCGGTGATTAACAAAATCTTAATCACTTTGCAGCTACCAATGGGACACTTCTTCCTTTAGTTACCTTTGTATACACACATAACCAATGAGTATGGTACTTGGATGGCCATAAGAAATTAAATTAGCTATTTAATATCGTGGACAAATATTGGGGGTAAGGGCGGGGCAAAACTATTCGCTACGTTACAATTTCGGACTTCAATCTACTTACCAACTAGCTATACAAATGTCTCTTATTTTAAATTACGATAATTGTAAACAATATCGAGTGTATACACTGTAGTTTATTTCATGCAATGTCTTCTCCACTGCTGAAGAGAAAGGGGCGACAAACATCTGTGAAAATTTAGCAAATTTTCTCTTCAATTATACACTGTTTTAAGAAGGAAAACTTCAAAATCTTCCCTAATTTAAAACTTATTAACAGCAACTCACTTTATGCACAATGTTTCTCTTGTCAGTCGTAAGTAGGCATGTCCTTACTGAACTTACAAGACTTGAATTGTTTATTTGCAACATACATACATTTCAGCTTCACCATGAAGTCTGCACAAAATAACACAGCCTTTGCTAAGTCAAATACATAAGGACAGCTGATTTGGTTATTACCATAAATCAGTGAGTCAATGTGTCATCCCACCCTCCCTCCCACCCTGCCCACGGCCAACTGTGGTTTCAACACGCAACATACTGGCTTCAACACTAAGGGATATAGTTAATATGTACAAACAACACGATCACGGGGCACCACGCTAAGACAGGAGTGTCTTTTTACAGAAGACACAAGAACGTAAGAAGAAATTCGGCAGTGTTTTATTTTCATACTGTTTACATCTTTAAACCTATCCACAACAGACACGTTTTCTTCACTCGAAATAATGAAGATCATACATCGTCTCTTGCTGATGTTTGTATTAACGAGCACATACGAGGAATTGAGAAAAGGACAGAAAAGGACAAACATGACCAAAGCCTCAATTTCTCCTTATGATGCACCGTGTAGAATCTGTACAGCAATAATTGCATCCTTCTCACTCACTCACACACGCACACAGCTTTCGAACAACATAATTTACTAATAATACTTTCTCAATGACGCAATTTGATTCCCCACACATAATTTAAACAAAGGAAAGGAAGTACAGAATAGTCTGCAAGTAAAAAAAATGTCTAAATATAATTTAAGTACCTGGTCACAACATTTCACTGTCACTATTGCAACTGTTCCACATATTTGGAGAGCTTGTCCTGAGGAGTCAATGGGTCATTAAGGTCCGCTGACCCAGGGCCGGCACTGCCCGCCCCTGTTGCACCTGCAGGTGATGGATGATGGGGTATGCCTGCTCCAGCACCATGGGGTTGACCTGCCGCTCCAGCACCTCCAGATAATTGGGACAGCATTATATCACTACTACTAGCCAAATCAGATTGATGATGGGCTGGTGAATGCGTTGGTGTGATGTGTGGTGGTGGAGGATGGTGATGGGGAGAAGGCACAGGTCCTCCTCCCCCACCACGTGGTGATGGCACTGGCTGGTTCCGTGGTGATGGAACAGGCCTTGGGGACGGGTTAGGTTGTGGCGACCTAATGGGTGGTGGTGATCTCACGGCCTGCATTAACTGTTGTTGCTGTTGCACAGATATGCTGACAGCTCCTCCTGGAGGACCCATCATCATACTAGTAGCACCTGCTGTCACACCCCCCTGTGGGGACGGCACTGGGGGAGGAGTAGGTTTCAAACCAGGCTGCTGTTGTAATACCTGAGTCCCTGGTTGACCCCCTACTACATACTGAGTCTGGTCTGCACTAGGGAACATGCCTCCACCTGGATAACCTACTAAATGCTGTTGCCGAGCCGCTCCCGGTAACCTCTGTTGTTGGCCATACGGAGGGGCAGGAGGAGGTTGTTGGAAAGCGGCTGCTTGCTGTTGCTGTTGCTGCTGCTGTTGTTGCTGCTGCTGCTGCTGCTGTTGTTGTTGTTGGGCCTGCTGACGTTGCATGGCTAATAACTGTTGCTGATGTTTGTACCACTGATGCTGCTGTTGCTGTTGTTGAGGAGTCAACTGATTTCCTTGAGTAACACCCGGTCCACTGGCACCTTGTTGACTCAACATAGTCTGCACATGCATTCTTCCCTGCTGCTGCTGTTGCTGCTGCTGCTGCTGCTGCTGTTGCTGCTGCTGTTGCTGTTGCTGCTGCTGTTGCTGTGGAGACATCATGTGCTGTAGCTGATGTTGAGGTTGCTGATTAGGAACCATGACTCCTCCAGGACCTTGACCAGCATTTGCTTGATTCTGATTCTGGGCCTGCGATAGTTGGAATGCCTGCCGCTGTTTTATAAATGCAGCCATAAGCTGAGGATTACTTTTCAAAATTTGTAATATCTGAGCTTGTTGTTCTGGAGTATTTGGTGATTTTAATGTAGCCAAAAGTTGTTGTAGGGCAGGCTTATGAATAGAGGACCCACCAGGTGCATTTCCACCAGCACCAGTATTACCAAGAGATGTTCCAGGTTGCTGTGTTCTGATATTTGGACCTGGACCAATGTGGGAAGGACCCATGCCACCAATTGCCTGTTGTGACTGTGGGGGAACTTGCACGACTTGTTGCTGTTGTGGCATCAATCCTCCTGGATTAGGTTGTCTCAAACCAGTATTTTGCTGAAGAGCTGGGTTGGAACCATATCTGTAATGGTATTAATACATACATTATATAATTTGAAAGCATTTCCAGTTAATGAAAACAAATAATCAGTCTTATTTAGTACCTAGGCGTCCACTGGTCCATTGGCATAAGATGAGGTCCAGGCCCCATCTGACCCATTGGCCTCTGCATTGGAGGTGGGGGCATCACTTGTGCCTGCCCACCCACAACCCCAAGAGACGTGTTCTTCCCATATGGTCCTTGGGCATGTGGAGCCTGTTGACGTGCTGCTTCTTCTTGCACCTATGCACAGCATTTTTTTGTTAACAGGCCAATGGGGAAAACAAAAAAAGAGAAATAATATTAATAACAATAATTAGAAAAGAGATTTTCATGTTACACTTGCTTTCACAGGTACAAGATTCAATCACTTTTTTATGGTCAGCTGCATTCAACTTCTTTTGGTTTTGCAAAACATTCTGAGTACATTACTCCCCCACCTCTTGGAACTCGTAAAAACGTACATACTTTAGTAAATTACTCCCCCTCCAATGAACTCGTACATTTGTCCCCCCCCCCCCTGTTTCTCTGTAACATTGGAGATTGCCCCAAATTGCAGTAGATGCCAAGAATACGATAACATATATAATTATGTATTATATTTAGATTCCTGTATTATTATAATTGCCTTTGTAGTTTATTTTTATGTCAACATTTACGAGTTGACATAGAAAGGCAACGTAAATACGTAACCAACTAGGCTGAATCTACAAATATACGAAAACCCCATTTTTTTAAACAAATTATTTAGGAAAAAACCTTGTCTTATATTCAGGTAAAAACAACATACACCCTAATTCTCAGAATTCTCATACTTGGAATGAAGGTTGAAAGGTTACTTATGAAGCAGAAGTATTTGCAACCTCATGCTTGCTTTTATTTCATAAAGCACATATGTAATTTGATCAAAATTATTTCTTACAAATTTTGTCTTATTGGGTTTTCTGCTTCCTTTTGTGAAACATGCATTCAGCTGTCTTGATGCAAATTTGGAAACCCATTCAAAAAATCTCTTCCAATGGTATACTCCTTTGAAAAGTGATGTGGTAATTGTTTTCAATAAGGTTGAGTACCAATATTAAAAATATGGAATAGGGAGGAGGCCTGGTTTACTTAAACATCACTGGCAATCCACTAAGACTATTTACAAACACATCAGCTCATCCTAATAAGCAAAGTAGATAACTGTTTTATATTTCAGATAACACTCTCATTGCGTGGTGAAGATTAGGGTTATGTTAGAATTTTCATTCAGCTGCTCAGAATCCATTTTAAGGCCTGATTGGCAACAATTTGTATTTGAAAATATATCTATGAATTAATTCTAAAGCATATCATAAACTGGTATTTTAAATTTTTCTAATATATTTCAAGGGGAGAAAAACCAAGAGTTCTATTTTGCATTTTTTTATTACAATAAATTAAGTTCCTTGAACCAGAAAAATTTACAAAAATAAAATTCAAAATCTATCACCAACCTATCCTATAGTCATAACTACTTAGTAATCGCTAAATTAATGAATATTCCATTACTGGAATTGGCAAGATTGATAAATGATGTACTCTTTATGTATAAACTTCTTACTGGGTTGATTGATTGTGCTGCTTTGAAGAATCTATTATCTGAATATTCATATCCAATGTAATATTAGAAAAGTAAGTGATGTACAAGAAATCTTTTGAAGACCTCAATTTATGTTTGTTTTCATGACTCTTTCTTGTTAGAATGTTCTTTTATGTTTTTTTGGAGGTGTTGGCGCTATTATCTTAGTGATAATGTCAGGAATTAAACCAACGCCTCCTAAATCGATCTATGTAGATGGCATTGATTAAACACCCATACCCAAACAAATTTTTAATAAAATATGACATGATTTTCTTTCACGAAGTTGCCAACACTGATGTTGACATCTTTAAGCGAACTGGGAAAACCTACAAACAGTATTGCCTCGGAACTTATTACCCTTCAAGAATTTCAAGTAAATACAGAGAGAGAAAAACCGTGAGTAATGCTAGAAAATGAATGAATTTTCTGTTCGACTTCTCACTTTTACATTCTTACATAAATGTATAAATACTGATTATCAAAAGAATGTGCCCTACAACTTATTTTTCTTAAACTTAACAAACACCTTATTCACATAAACATAAAAAACAGTTGCCTTTTAATGTTTATATTTGCATGCAATGCTAGATTAGCATACAAAACAATTAACAGAGCAATTGCAGAAGTAGAAGAGAAACCAAATAAGTTTGTAAAGTTTCAATCTCTTCAAAAATTAGGGGAGAAAAACACGGGAGTGTTAAGAAAAACCAGGGAAGAACCAAACGTAGTTGCAAAAGATGTTGCGACAGAATTTTCGGAAGTAATTGGAAATGATTTGCATTTCTGCTAATACAAACGAGCTATGTGCATTTTCCTGTATATTAGCAAAAAGCTTAAAATGTTGCTGTACTAAAATTGAACTATTAGCATCACAACATGAAAGTATTTGTTATAGCAATTATGATTTTGAAATTTCAATAAGACCAGTTCAAATCCCGTATGGAGGTAACACACAATGCCGTATGAGATAACACGCAATGCACTGGGTGTTGGGAACTTTTGAGGGGGATTATAACCTCATCGATCAACTTTTGCAACGTTAATCCTCGAGGTGGGCTCTATGCCGTTCCCAGAAGACCTTGCTTGAATTGCGATCTTTGGATATTTTTCTGAACAATGATCTAGAAAGTTAATCTATGCTGTTCCCCTAGGACCTTACTTGAAGTGCAATCTACAGGTACCTTTTTGAACTCATAAAAAGAATGTCTGAACCAAATGTTTGTGATACACAACATTAGTCAAATATTTTGACTTCTGTGAAATGTAATATAGTAAAGTGTAGTTAATCTTCAATAACAAATTGATTTCGAACTTAAATTGTATTAATTAAATACACTACAGTAGCGAAGCATTGCCAGGGCTGCTAGTATAAAATACGTATTTTCTTAAGGCAGCTTCAATTATTTGGTGAGAACTGAACAACTGCTTGGTTCAAATTCCAAGTAGTGGGGATGGAGCCAATTGTCAAGCACCAAGCTCAGCATCTTGGCCACTTGCTGATGGGTCAAGCAGAAGTTTACTCCTCGCCCAATGTGCAGAGCTGCCTTAAGGATAGTAAGCAAAAGGTACACATTTCCATTGTCACAACAATTTACCTGTTTTACAACTTGCAATACATTTGCAGGTGGTGTTTGAGTTCCAGGTTTTAATCCAATTCCTGGGGTATGGGCAGACTGTATTCCTCCAACTATCATACTGTTTGGATTTGGAGGACTTGTCATAATACCGGCAGGACTGACTGCCCCTGACGTCAGAGCCCCAGCAACTGAATTTCCAGGCAACGCTCCTGTGGGTACAGTTGTCCTAGTATTCATTACAGCCATTCGTCGACGGAGAAGCTGAGCTTGTTGCAAACGCTGTTGCAACTGCTGCTGCTTTAATTTGTGTTTGATATTGAGGCAGAACGGCACTGGACACTTCGTTTCCTATACAAAGCAATTTCAAATAATATTGTCAAGAGCATATCAAACATTAATATTTTCATTTATAGACTAAACTGACATGTGTATAAAGCCTTACCTGACAGTGTTTGGCATGGTAGCAACAAAGTGCAATAAGTTGTTTACAAATTGGACAACCACCATTAGTTTTGCGTTTACATATCTTTGTGTGCTGTACAACACGCTTCATCTTCTGGCAACTCGGCAAACGGCAATTAGCATCACGACATTGACATGCATGGACCAATGACTGTATACATCTTTGTATTGATAATTTTCTTGCCTCCTTTGGGAATAAAACAATGTACTAATTGTAATGAATAAAATAAACAACAATTTCTAATAAAGCAAAAGTTATAATTTGAAGATCTCCATTAGTTGCTCAAATCTCTGGTCTTATAAACATTCCAAATTGACAAAAAGTTTGTTCTAAGACTATTTTTTAAAGATAGGACTAGATTGTGGCAGATTGGGACTTACACTACAGATATTTATGATAGGATGCATTACCTGTGGATTTGCTTGTTTTTGATCAGATGGTGATGAGCCATCATCCAAATCAAGACCAAGTTTTTCCATTTTGTGTGGATGTGGATCTTTTTCAAAGCACTGCACACACAGGTCAAAATCCTGAAAAGAAATTGAATTCAATAATTTTTCCTTATGTTAATTTCAGGCTTTACTTAAAATCTTTACATAAGTGCCTTAGAGGTTTGACTGAGCTTTAAAGACCAGTTTCCACCGCTCCATGCCGCCGAAGTATATTCTATCCTGTGTAGCTGCATTTAAATTGAGAAGACAATGCAGATGAAAGACTACGTGAATATCCATGATTTTAAATTCAAAAATGTGCATCGCTCAAGCATTTTTTTTCATTTATTTTTAATATTAAATTTGTCAATAAATCCTGAAGTTTTTGAATTGCCTGGGGCACTATTGAACACAATAACCAATGCAAGTATTTGTTTTCCTTCCCATTTCTTTGTTACATTTTAGAAATAATAATTTATGGTGTTTCAATTGGGCATTTTGTATGGTAAATTGTTCTCTTATAGTGTTGTAATTTGTTATCAATGACATCTCTACAAAATATTTGCATAAATTCAATACTTTGTGCTCTGTGTATAATTTCTCTGAAGGATATAATTCTGTTTTATCATATATTACTTTCAGTGTTCCCTTCTGTACATTATACAAGGATTTTAAAGTGCTACTATAGGTCCCCTATCCAGCTACAATTCCATATGTTACAATGGACCAAATCAAAACAGCGCAGAATTTATAATCAGTAATTGTTGGACGCATCTTTTTTTTATTAATATGTTTTGCATTTCCAATCCATTATAGGTTGTCATCAACAAAAATGCCCGAATATTTATAAATTCTGTTTCTCCTCATTAATGCAAAAGCGCAATTTACTAACTCAATATCCTGGATTTTTATGCTATAAATTTCTGGAGTATAGTCCACATGTCCATATTGTCATAAATCAACTAAACTGTCTTCTCTTTATTTAATGTTAGATGGTTTGCTGTAGACCATACTGCGAGATTTTCCATTTAGTGCTCTGCTTTTTTCTGCAGAGCTTCCCAGTTTTGATAGCTTAACTGCTGTGTCGTCTACAAAAGCTATAATTTTCCCCATGCCTTTGTTGTTAAAAATAGTGTTCATGAACAAGATTAAAAGTACAGGTCCTAGTATTGTGCCCCATAGAACTCCACAACTTGTGTTTGTTCTGTACTTTTGCATTTCCAATTTTTACTACTTGTTTTCTGTCCCTGACATAGCTTTCCAAGATCTTATGAGCTTTTCCCCCAAAACCCATCCGCTCCAACTTATTTAATAATATTAAATAGTCAAGTGTATCAAATTCTTTAGCCAAATCACAGAAAACAGCATCACATGGTGTCCCTTTATCTATGGCTTCATATATTTTAATAGATATTTCTACACATTTATGAAGTTAAAAGCCACATTGCATTCCATTCATCAATCTTTCTCCTCTGCATCATCCTATTGTTATTATCTGGAAATTATATCTTCAATAATGTTGCAAAGCGATCCATCATTTCAGTTTAAAACATGGTTGACTTTATTTTCCCAAAACCTTTTCAGGTCCTCCCAAAAATGTGACCAATAGTCATAGTATCGGAAACTCGTCTAGCTTTTTTTTTATATAAGATTGATAATATTTTTAAATATGATTGAAGAGTTATCAAAATTACATTTCTATTAATATATCCAAGTTTATATCCTCCAATATAAAGCGATGATTCACTTTCTAATTGTCCCATAGATATTGTTGGAGATCATCAATAAACTTATTTCCAAGAGTGTCACAAGTCCTATATATTTTGTACTGCAATAGAGCATAATTTCTCTCAATTCATATTTGATTCATAATTTTATAACATGCAGAAAAATCATATTAAATCTCATTACAATGAAAGTTGTATTTGTTTTTCCTATTGATAAAAATTACATTATTTATATAACGTTTTCTAAAAATTGTGTTGTAATTATCCAATTCATGAAATGATAATGCAAAGTAGGGATTTTACATACTGATGAATATCTCTGGGTTATCTAACCGTTCTATCATCTGTTTTAGATTATCAAAATGCTTGAACAAACTTCTCAGATTTAATTGGACTATCCTCAGGTCCAAACAATCAACTGACAATTCACTGGAAATGATTACCAATCAATAGCTCATCATCAAAATATCTTTGTTTAAATCAATTTAAAATATACAAATCATTATTAAGAACCTTATTTCAGAGACTACTCTCAAATGATCTATGATCTGTTAATCTTATGGTTTAAAATTTTTCATTTCACCTAATGCAACTTTTGCTTTGTTTCATAACATGTTGGCCACAATCTGCTTTCATATTTTCCAATGCGATATTAATAAGTGACGGTGCTTTGAGAATGGCGCTGTGCTGATAACTATTACATTTTAAACATGTACTTATTTTAGCATACTCATAATTAAATTTTAACATTAAGGCGTTATAACAGTGTCTTGTGCTGCAGAAGCTATGGTGCGGGAAAGCAGTACATCACACATCGACCACATGTCCTCACAATCCATCTTATTTTATAATAATGTATTAACACCCATACGCAATTCTTTTCGATACATTGCCAATTGCACATGAAGTCATGCAAGATTTGATTTTAGGCCCTCTTCTCTTCTTACTATATGTAAACAATACAATGCAAAACAGATGAACTGTTCTCTTTATGGTAATAAGTATATCCTTTGCAAAAAAGGATCCAGTAAATACTGCAAATCAGATGTTCCAAATTGGATTTGTAATAAAGTAATGGTATGGTTTCAATGCAGTTTTCAAATAAACAATTGTATAGTCTATTAAAAATAAACAACCTGCAAGTGGCTGATGTTAAGATAACAAAATTGTTGGGTCTCTTAATTCAATCAAATATCAAATGAAACATTTACTTAATGACTTGAACGCAAAATTAAGTTCATTATGATGAATGTTCAGAATTCTTTCAAATTCATTCGGCTATTCTACTACTCTTGTCTATTTTGCAAATATTCATTGACGCCTAAAATATAACAATATTCTGGGGAAACACAGTCTAAACCACCTAGACTTGTAGATTACAGAAAATAATTGTACAAATAATAAGCAAATTCCACTGTAGTAACTATAACCACTAACAGTAACTTGTAACGACGGTAGTATTAATATTAGTAGCAGCAGCGATAGTACTTGTACTACTAGTAGCAGTAGTAGAACTACTGGTACTAGTGGTATAATATAGGGACATCTCCATGATGATGTTCAAGACAAAGGGAAACCAAATATATTCGTGATGGTGATAGTATAGTACTAGAGAAAGTAGTACTAGTTCTAATAGAAGTAGTATGTTAGTAAAAATAAATATCCAGTAATAATACATAATAAATACTTACATCACAGACTGTACAATGATAACGAGTTTCAACATGGCCTTTGCAGTTGTTACAAGTATATACAAAGCGATCCTGTCCCTGATTATGGAGCTCATATAACATTGACATTGATGAGAACTTGGCACGTCTGAGTGATGAAAACTCATAATGTCGTTCTCGAGCCATTGTTAGGAATGCATCACGGCCATCCATTAAATCACAATTAATAAATGGATCAGGATCTTGAATAGCCTAAAAAAAATTCAATTTTAAAAGCAAACTTTGGACAAAATTTTAGCCATACTTAAAATCAAAAATAAAAAGTAACAAAGAACATACAGCTAAACTGGCAGCTGACTGTGCAGAGTGCAATCTGATGACAAAGAAAACTTCTTTGTGCTTTTCCATTGTTGCAAATATCTTTGCAGAAAGATCATTGCCTGTCTGAGGAGTATTAGACTTTTTACTGTTCTTCCTCTGACTAGCTTTTGACTTATTGGATTTTTTAGCTTTCTTCTGACCTTTCTTCTTGCCATCAGGACCAGTTTCACTCTCATCTTGTGTTGACATCATCTAGATAAATTACAATTCAGAAAACTTATGCCCACCAGTGGTTATGAAAAACTAATTAGTACAACAATAAACAACAATTTGGTCTAGCTATTAGAATTTGTTATGAATAATTTTAATAATAAAATAGAAGAACAAAACAACTCTTACTGCATTGGCAGCAGCTTCAGCTGCTTCTGCCTGCTTCCTCTTTTCCTCTTCCTCCTGGTCCAATTCCTTAATACTTTCTTCCAAAACATTGGGCCAGAAATCACCTTCAAAATAAGGAAGTTCTGCTGCAGAGCTTAGCTTGTCTTCAACAGCTTGTTTTAATATGTCCTACAACATTTCAATTCATAAATTGCAATAGGTAAACACTACAAATAGAAAAATCAATTACTTCAAGACCAAAATACTTGCCTTGTAATCAAAAACTATCCGCTCAATGATTCCTTTATCAAGCATTTTTTTGTACCATTCTTGTAAACGTTTTGGTTTGGGAATTTTTTGCTCCACAGGATGACAATGAAATATATAATCATCTCCTTCAGAAGGAGGGCAAGCCCAAATATGTGCCATAGTGTAACTGAAAATTAAATTCACAATTGGGTGAAATTAAATTACACTTTTAACAAAAGATTGTAATGTAATCTTATTCACATTTTACTAGTAGAATTTACAAATCAAATATCTTATGATATATTTCAGCAATAAAATTACAAGCAATAATATAAATGGACAAATGAGAATTGACAATTAATTTACAGAAACACAAAAAGAAATGAAATCTAATTCAATCACAACCTAGTTACTTCCCTACAAAGGAAGGGAATACTTTATACTTATATTCACAAAACCGGTTGTGTAACTATTATGATAACTGTATTATGCAGGTCAACAGCCTGTGAAAAAAAAACAACGTACTTCTAGCAACTTTCCAAATATCTCACATTAACAGAAGGTAACTTATTAACCTCAATTTCAAATGATTTAATGTCTTATTGACAAGCATTTTGGTTTGGCCATTTTCTCAATAATTCTTTACGCCTAGGATTTTCATAACTGAAAATTTCTCATTGACAGTTTTTAAATTGTCACATATCATATTAAACAATCGAACACAATTTACATTGTATTATCTTAATTCTTAATTGCATTACTGGGGATTCTATTAATTTGTTTCTTTTAGCAATGGTATTTTCTCATATTTATTTTGAAGGGCTGCCTAATTAAATCTAAAAGCTATTTTGATCTATTGATAATATATGTATCCTTGTTCAGATGGGCATCTCTTTCTTATTATTATAAATAATTTTAATGATTTTCTTTCTTAATCTTAGAAGACATTTTATGTTTTTTTAAAGTTGCCAATGCCCAAAAGGATCAATAAACCTTTTTTTCCCTAGGCATTATTTATATTTTATTAAATATAAAAAATTAAGAACAGTGTTTGGGAGGTCAAATTCAATACATGAATATTTTATATTTTGGTCTATATATACTCCCATAAACTTGACAACTTTCATTCCCTGAATTGTCAAACAATTGCATTTAGATCTCAACAAGTAAAATTTGTGCAAAAAAAAATGTTTTAAATTGCCATTTACATTCCCAGTAATGTTATGAGTTTTAGTGCTGACGCCCAATTAAAAATCAAGGCAGATTGAGATTTTTAAGTGGACAAGTCAGTAATCTAAGCTGCAGATTTATAAACACTAAACAGAAGAAATAGGCAGCCAAAATAGGTATTTAAAATTGTAAAATAGCTATTTAAAAAGGCAATATAATCCTTATTTGTAGAAAAGTTCTTAAGTAAACAATCTAGTTTCCTTCGCGGAATGCTTATTCTGACAGGATCTCATGACCAACCGTAGCAAATGCTTTCCAAGATCTACAAGGATTATTTTCATTTCTCAGTTAGCAATTTGATCAGTAAAATGTACTATTACTTCTTCAGGATTTCTCCCTTCCCGAAACCCAAATTGATAGGGACTTATTACATTTTGAATCAATAAAAAACTTTTATTATCCCCTTCAGAATCTTTTCACATACCTTTGCAAAATTTGATAAAAGAGTGAGTTATTTGTTGGATTATAAGTTTCCCATTTGAAACACTGGTAAGACTTCCCCCTTGTAAAATACTTGGAATTCTTCCAGTACCTATTATTTTATTAATATTCTTACTATTTGTGCTACACAAGTCTTGATAACTTTAGTTCGAATTTGATCTGATTTCAGGATTTTTGGCACATTAGAGGTAATTACGGTATTTACTATTTGCAAATTTTATGAAAATGGTAGTTTTTAATGGCTTTCATACATCCATCGTTCTTTCTTTCACAGTCTTTTGTCAATCGTTGGTCCTATATTGATTTTCATTACTGTCAGGACAGGGATAGAGCGACCCACTTTAGTTATCCTTTAAATTCCTCTGGAACCATTGCAGATTAGTCTTTTCTTTCACAGTCTTTTGTCAATCTTTGCGTCCTATATGATTTTTTTCATCACTGTCAGGACAGTGATAGACGACCCACTTTAGAGTATCCCTTTAAAATTCTCTTGAACCATTGCACATATCTTTCTTTCACAGTCTTTTGTCAATCTTTGGTCCTATATTGATTTTCATCACTGTCAGGACAGGGATAGAGCGACCCACTTTAGATTATCCCTTTAAAAATTCTCTTGAACCATTTGCACATATCTTTCTTTCACAGTCTTTTGCAATCTTTGGTCCTATATTGATTTCATCACTGTCAGGACAGGGATAGAGCGACCCACTTTAGATTATCCCTTTAAAAATTCTCTTGAACCATTGCAGATATCGAAAGGCTGTTTTCACTATAATGAACATATGTGAGGGGCACATATGACATATTCTATTATACTATATCTTTTTTATTTAAGATATGCCAACATCATCGATTTTTTTAAATGGAATCCTAGACCATGGTAAGGAACATAAAGAGACATGGTCTTACATCTATAATTTTATGTTACTTTACATCTTTGAGAAATTTAAAATATTTATAACTGAATTGACCATTACTATTTTATCACTAACACCAGGAAACATTTTTCCACCCCGCAGGGCCAAAGTGCCAAATAGAATGGTCTTGAAGAGCGTTTGTGTTTAACCCATTTCTTTCCAAACAGTGAAATATTTAATCTATTTATTGAATTTTAGTTAATTATTGATAATAAGTTACCAAAGACAGCAAATACAGTTTGCTAAAAATATTCTGATTCTTGGTTGAAGCTTGATGGTTCATTTAGAGTATTAACTGTTGTTAAGACTAAATATGTATCATGTGATCATACACAAATTTTGTTTTGAAAATTTTTTTCAGTTCAAAGCATCCAATTCCCTTTTCTCTGTTACACAATTCCATTTGTATAGAAATTCGCTTCTGATGAACGACACAGAATAGTGTGATATGTATAGAAAGTTTGCCCAGAAACAGCAAGATGTATTTATTTATTTATTTATTTATTTATTTTTTGCAAAATAGCAAATTACTTCATCGAAGATCAAACATTTGTGCCTTCCTTGATATTCTGCCATGAACCTAAAATGGTTTCAAAAATATTTTTTCCCGTGCCAAAACGCACCACATTATGAAACCAAACCTCTCATAACTCGCTTGTTTTTGCTGAAAATACAAAACGATCTGCTCATAAGTACTGATAAATTTTGACTAAGCACTCCAGATTGCAAATGCCATTTGTTCATTCATCAAAGAATGGGCTCAATATTGCAAATTTGTATTCTTTACCTAAGGTATTATAGACTATGTGTAGATATCTTTATTTCTCAAATATTATTTCAAAAAAATGTTTTTAAAAAATGGTATCTTCAAAAAACCGAGCAAACTTTTTTGTGAAGGAGGGCACAACTATGCCATGCCTTGTTTTAGTGTCAAAAAACTACAGAGATTATGTCATTTGGCGTATCTGTCAACGGAACAATCTAAAGGCATCATATTCTATCTAATATTACATCACTCTCAAAATACTAAACTCCTATGAACAGTTTGCCAGGGCGTCATAATGGAATTTGGCTGTTTCCAAATCTGCAGGGAAACTCCCAACGTTGCGGAAACACAACACAATATTTTATTTGTCTACAATAATAATTTTGAAAATCACATTTCATTCAAACATTAACACTTCTATTTGCACACTTTAAATTTTACAATATGATGACAAAAATTCACATTGATCATCAATTTTAAGATTAAAAGACAGATATTGTAGTGTCGTCAAACTAGAGCAAGCGCCTTGATGGAGAAAAAAAACTTTGTATTCATGTAATACATAATTATCAAATAAAAATAGTTTTAAAGTCATTAAGTAATAGTATAGGTAAAATAAAATAGTAAACATTGCATTGCGTATTCATAATGTTGGGAAGAAATGTGTTAAGTTTATATCTATTGATAGATAAGTGTAGAAATACAAAGAGCAAAGTTCATTTACTGATCTCGTGCATTTCTTCATGCTCTCCTACTGCTCACAATATTTATTCATTTGTTATTGTCAGAATTATACCATATCGTCCTGAGAATGTTCTAGGCTGGGTATGATTATTTCTAATTTCAAATATAATTAGAACTTGGGGAAAATTATTGATACAATCCAGGTTGCCTACATATTTCGAATGTTTCAATTATTGTGACATTGCTCCAGTGATATACAACATCACATAGAGAAATATGATTTACACTTTAGTTCAGATTCCACTATTATACCAATTAGTATACCACAGGAAGACTAAAATTCTATAACGACGAGCAAACAAATATCTTAGTTTTTTTTGGTTGTCAGTAAAAGTTAAACCATTCATATAATACAGCTTACAAAAATAATTTCCAATGAAGTGTTAATAAAACTTCGAATCATTGGGTGGTATGAATTGGGGCGAATCATTGGGTGGTAAGCAAGTACTTTTTGCTCCAAGTTTCAGAGATCATAAAAAAGGACACTATGGTTGGTACGATTTTTTACTGTGTTTGCTTTCAGGCGTGTTTTCATATCATCTATCTTCTATGTTAATTGGCCATCGCTCTTTTCTACTTCGAATTTTTCAGGGTGATGTTTTTTCAAACTTTGTAATGTTTCGTTTTGGCCACAGCTTACCTCCAAAAGCTGGCTCTTTTCAAAAATAATTTTATAATTGCTCCGCATTTCAGCAAAAACTAGCTGGGCCTCTGGACGCCTGTTTTCCGTTACTGTTATTCATATTCGAATTTAAAAAAAAAAGAGACAAGAAAACATTGCTCTTTAATTCGCACAAACGTAGGCGACACACATAACGTATGTAACCTTTTTGTTGCTCAAGAAACCAATTTTTAAAACTCTTAACCTGCACTATCACTTGTTCATGACGAGTAAATGCTTGCGAGACATTAAGTTCTTCGGAGACATACAAAATTTTGATTCCTACGAAATGGAGCAACTGCTCAGTGCCACAGAGTAGACACACTTTGCTCCAGAACAAGTACTCCTGTGGTAGTGCTCATTTTTATTCATATGACCCATTGTTGAATAAAACTATCCTTTAAAGCTTTTTTTTCTTTCTTTATTCCAATGATAATCTTAAGTATTGATTTAAAAAGGGTTCAAAATGGGCGGATCTTTGTAAGAAACATAGAATTGGTAAATTTTATGAGACAAGTAAAAAGTCTCACAATTTCCAAAAGAAGACGAGCATTATTCTTAAAAGTTTAACATTAAAATTATTTTGTTTTAATTACATAAGAAAACGTACTTTCCCATCATTTACACTTTCTTGCAATTTATCTAATTATTTCTTTATCTTTGGAAAGTGTGAAATGGGTTTTACAGAATGTTCTCTTTGGGAGCAACACGTACTTGCATATGGATATACTTGAACACACTGAGTTTTAAGAAGCGTAAGGGATTGCAAAAATCCTTCCATTGTTAGATATCAGCAGTGCTTCCACTTGCAGCCATTAGTGAACCATTTTGTTTCTTCATAAATTTTTGAAAATATCACAACCAGCGAAAGGATTGCATTTTTCCAGGTTGAGTAACACTGATTAAACCTCGCCATTTATACATATTTATTTAAAGCCCAAAAAGAAATTTAAAAGACTTTCAATCCATATCAATACACAAGTTTAAGACTGTTGTTATGACATCCTCATTTTGACAATTTGTCCTTGAACATTGTATCTCTAGACATATTGTGGTGCTTGATCATTCAAACGTTTTCTTCCAAGTTGAAAATCATAGGAATCTATGATTATTTTACTAACTGGGAGGAGCACTTCTGTAATTAACAACCCGAAACAAGAAAGTCATGACTGACTAAGGACTTGGAAAAAACATTCAAAATTATAAAAAATAAAGTGTTGAGTTAACTGTAACAAAAGTTCTTACCCAAGTTGTTTCACATAGTCAAGATAGCCTAGTAAAATTTCGTGATACACAGCTGTCCTATACTGACGAGGCCTGAAGAAATGTACTGAATCCAAATATGCAATATATACACGTCGAGTATTTGGGGTGGGGCACTCAGATCCATACTCTTGCACATGCATGCCAAAAAAGCATACATCAGTACCATCAACTTCTTCAAAAGCAAATAGTGCTTTTGCACGGTATGGAAACTGCTCAGCAAGGTCTCCAGTATCCACAAACCTACAAAATAATTTATTTGGAAAATTATATAATACATTTTTAATAGCTTTAGAAACACATTAAAAAAAATGAAAAGAAAAAAACAGTAATCATACCTGTTCCTCATTCCAGGTTTCACTTCCACTATTTTATCAGAACTTGACACTACTCTAATGAAAACTTCTCCAGCACCAGCTTCCTTTTTCTTCAAGAAATTGTTTACCCTTGTTTCAATATATGTCCCAAGTTTAGTAACAGGAAGTCTCTTAGCATTAAATTTATTTTCTTTTCTTTTCATGCCTTTCTTCTTCAGACAATTATCACAAGTGAATCTAGAAAAGTAAATGGATTTTAGAGTTCAACTATTCAAACTAGCAAAAGATTTCAGCAAAAATACTCAGACGGAAAAGAGTAAATTCATACCCTTGTGGCCAGATTTGTTCCAAATGGAGTACACATATCTGATGAAGCTTTCGACCACAATCTGTACATTCTACAAATGGCTCCAATTCCAAATGATCATTTTTCATTTCTTTAAATTGATCCTTCTTTATGGTCCTGTGTATTAAAAAGTCAATCATTGAGGAATGACATTGTAATTTTTAAATACTATTTACACCTATAATTTACTACAACAATGAAATGGAAATATACTAAGTACTACAGTATCTAAAAAATAAATAACACAACTATGTTGATCTTCTGAACAAAAAATGAAAAACTTACGTTTGTGGCTGCGTGGGGTCATCTCCAAGTGTAACCGTATCACCAGGGATGTCATTGAAGCATTTCTGACAGAAGGTATATCTGTCGGAGAGAAGACCATATGTCTTAAGGCTGCGGGTTCAACCCCACCAATACATCAAGCATAATACCCGAGCAGCCAGTCACATTCACATTATAGATTAACAGCCAGGTAATTGACAGTATTCAATTCAGGCAGGCAGAGGAGGAAACAGGTTGGATAAAACAAAGAAGAAAAAAAAAGCCATGTAGCAGACAAAAAAATCCATGTCTTCAAGCAAGGGTGTAATAGAAACCAAGTTTCTCTGAATGATAGAAAAAAGCAATCAATTCCACTCAAACATTATGCAAATGTGTAAAGAGCATGCAGTACAATACATAGTTTTGGGATGGTACTTTCTTGTGGTTATGAAAATGGAAATGTTAAGTACTCTGCATTCATTCACCATGCAATTACAATTTCTTTATCATTTTGCGTATTGTTAACATAATTTACTTCATCAACTACTGTATATTTCTGTCAACATATCAATTCAAATTGTACATGAAAGCTTGATGAAATTTTGAAACAGACATTTAAAAATCTCAAACAATTTGCTATTCAGAAAACTTGGTTAAAAGTTAAAACTATCAGTGGTAATGTTTCTGTCAATCTAAAAAGATTTCGACTTGACAATAGATAAAAGAATAATCATGCTTATTACAATACAAATGATCAGAAAAATACAAAAATATTTTATTAGTAGGTGAAACAGTGCATTGCATTTCTATTTATGCAATATATATATGTAAATTTATGTGTGTTTTACATCACTATCCGTTGAATAAAAAATCAAGAGTAATAATTCATCAAGTAAGCAAGCATTTTAACAATTTGGAAGACCACTAACTAATACTTAAACACTCACCAAGTGAATAACACAGAAGCATGCTATATATTTATTTTTAATTAAAGATCAATGAAAAGCTTGTTTTTGCAATTCATGCTTGATATCACATGCGCAAAACATGCATGAAATGAAATTGGAGAGAAAGGATGACTTTTAAACGGAGAAGCATTATACTGTTGAGTTGCAAAAATTCAAATTTTGATATGCATTTAACAATTGCAGATTCAAGATTGAATACTTTTTTGCATACAATGTGATTGTGGATACTGAAAATTACACTATTTGAAAAGTCAAAAAAAGAATAGCTCTTCCTTCATCAAAAATTAAACCTTGAATACAGATAAAGATAAAATTGAACAAATGAATGCTCTGAACAATGTGTTTTACAACACTGAAAAAGTAATGAATTAAATTAATATTTCCTTAAAAAAAAAAATAAAAAAAAAAAAAATAATAAAAATAAAAAAAATAAAAAAAAAATTAATGAGTCTTCAAGAAATTGAGTTTTATTATGAACAAAAATTACAATCTAAAGGGTTAATTCTTTTAAATACTACATTATTTTGGAGAAAATTATTAACAATAATAATAAACAACTAGTTGAATCTATGTGAACGTACTGCACTTTGTAAATCTGTTTTAAAAGTGAAAATAGTTTCATACTGGGCCCCACCTTCAAATGCCAAGCCCCTGACTATTACAGCATCATACACCTGGACACCTGGTATTGCTCACAAGCATACTCAGATTGCTAAATATCGAGATTAAATTTCACAGAAAATCAGTCACTTCAATTTACATTGAAATATTATTACAGTCTCTATTCCTTCAATTTAATTTTACATATTTTTTGAGGTACTGCTAACAAACTCTTCTAATCTGTTTCCTACATCATTATCCGCAAACTTGATTCTCCAATCAGCAAAAGCACACATGGTTCCGTACATAATTTATTAAAAATTGCCAAAACAATCTCATCCATCCTTAGCTTATTATATGTAGTGAGAATGATGTAGTCGTAGTTAGTAGTCGTAGTTAGTAGTCGTAGTTAGTAGTCGTAGTTAGTAGTCGTAGTTAGTAGTCGTAGTCGCAGTCGTAGTCGCAGTCGTAGTCGCAGTCGTAGTCGTAGTCGCAGTAGTAGTCGCAGTAGTAGTCGTAGTAGTACTTATAATATAATAATAATAATAATAATAATAATAATAATAATAATAATAATAATAATAATAATAATAATCTTTGGAATGGCTTGTGACTATTATTTATTGCCTACAGAGAATTAAACAAATCTTTCTGTGGATGAACATTCTTGAACAATTTTTGTATAATATGTAAGACAGCAAAAACTAATATGTACGTTCTTCGAAGGAATTAAAATGTGAATATTTACTTTGCAAAATATCCAAGTAAAGACCATAGATTAATACGGGGTAGAAACACCCCCCATTAGATTTCAGACAGTCAGGATTGATACTGCAGGGACTTGAACAATTAAAAATATATAAATAGTCTTCACAACTTTTTTAATAAAGACCACATTTACATGTACTCAATGATTTTATTTCCCACAGAATCAATTCTAACAGTCCAAAATCAAAAGGGACAAATTTCCCCCAATATTATGAGTGATAGTCACAATTGTTTTATATCACAAAAAGCCTTCACACACATGTGAGAAAAACCACACCACTTACACCACTTATTTGAATTAAATGGTAAATATCAAATTCTGAATGCAGGGTAAAACAAACTATACATCACCACCCACCCAAACAAATAGAGAAATGTTACTATAATAAAAACACATTCACATTCATCTCACACACAAACACACATATACTTAAATCACCAAAAGAAACCTAATCACAAGATACTTGTATTGGAAACTATAGCATGGAAAGCATAAGAAATTACTTTTAATGACTGAAGCAGAAGAAAATATTTAAAGTTAAAAAAGTTAAAAAATATTCAAATTAAAACTACAAAACAACTCACTCCTTAGTTCAAAAGAATTAGAATTCAGACATACAGGCAAGAAAGAAAAAGCAAATAAATAAAAACGAGTGAGAGAAATAGTAGAAAGGAGAGAAAGAAGAAAAAAAGAAAAAACCCTGATGGCAATGAACTGAAAATCTCAACTTTTCATGAACATCTGTCCCAATTTTTAAAATAATTTTTACAATTATTAATGATTAGAAAAATGATTGAGGCAAGTTCATGATTGATGTCACTGTATAATGCGACCTTTCCTGATATAGCAAATGTTAAGAACTCCAGCTACAATACAAATATCATTCATATACTACATTCAAATTTTTCTTTCTGGAATTCTCTTTATTTTCACGAAACTGCATGAAACATAAATAGCCACAACATTATGCATGCCAAACAGATATTGTATTGCCATACTGAGAAGATTATTTTTAAGTCTAATTTGATAAAGGTAAATGTTGGAGCGAATAATTTTCTTAAATTTCAATTTGAACTCTAAACTCAAATCTTTTTCAAAACCTAAATTTTAACTACACCTTTAGTTGACTGTTGAAGTTGCTTTATATCGCCTTAGTAAATGACATTAAATATATTCTTTTGACCTACGAATTCACAATGTGTGATAATGTTTTCTCAGAATGTGTGAATATTTTTATTTAACAACAGAATGTGCCATTTCTTCAATACAAATATTTCTATTTGCTAAACAGTGCCTGTATTTACAATACAAAACCGTCATCAGTTATTATCACAAAACCTTTTTTTTGAATTGGACTCTATAAAATATAATTTAATACTCACATGGAACGTTATTCCCTTCTGTACATTACTTTTCTCATCATCGTCATCATCAGAAGTTCATGGGCAGAGGGATGAACGGAGCAGGATGGCAGAGGAACAGGGATTAAGGACCTGTGCATACCGAATAGAAGTAACAAGTGAGGGCACTAATGTCTATTAAAACAGATGCCACCGATCGAAATGTAGGACAAAAGTAATTTATCTGTAAACATCTTACTTTGAGGAAATCATAAATATCTGCACATATTTTATTTTCAAAAATACTATTACACTTGATTTGTGATAAATTGAGGGATATATTTTTGATAATTAAAAAAGAAAAATAGTTATTGCAGAAGTTACTTTTTGTAATAATGTGAAGAGTTATTAAGTTGCTAGGTAAATTTGTAACTTCAGTATAATTCTATATTCACCAAAAACCTTAGTATTGTCTCAGTAATGTCAGGGCACTTACAAACAAAAAAGGTTAAAATTTTCTGGAAGAAAAATTAACTGTACAAGCTTAATATTGTGATTTTTCAACTGAACATGAAATTGAAATATTAGAAATTGTGTTCAAAGAATTATCACACATCAATTCTAACCATAGGTCTATCTAAAGAAAACAGAAAAGACAATTTTGATGATTATGAAATCAGAATGAGGAAAAGTAAGTCTAAGAAACATTGGGACTAATTGCTGTACTTTCCATTGGGTCAATTTTTACCACAAATTTATCAATAGTGTTCATTACTCAAAGTGCTCTAGCCCAGGGCAAAAATTCTCAACCCACAAGGTAAACGTTCCTTGTCAAAAGAAAAGAAAGAGAAAAAAATTACTCTCCTTTTAATACATCAATATTTGAAAGCTACATCCCCAAGAAAGTGAATTGAAAACAAAAAGGCTTTCATGCATTCATTAGATAACTATTTGAATTATGAATTTAATTTCTTGCAAGTATTGCTTATTTCTTCCTCTATTCAACCAAATGAACAATCCTTAAATCTGCTTTTCCCAAAACCTAGTTAACATCCAAAAGCTTGAGAATAAGTATTGATTGAAATGTGAAGATAATTGTACAGTCTTTAAAATGTTTTCAAAACAAGGTAGATGCACTTATCAACAGAAATGCAAATATGACATTGCAGCAAGACAAATTATATTAATTATTTATTGAATAAACAGAATATAATTCCTTAATTGTTTGATAATTTTCACTATAACCATCAGTGTGATCTTCCTTTCTGAAATGTGACATTGAATATACTTTCCCTGGTGTTCATATAACTTGCAAAACATCTCTTTGCTACACATTTATAACAAATTACTACTTACAAGGTATAATAAAAAAACAAAGAAACAAAAATTATTGTAAATTTCAAAAAAAAAAAAATATATATATAT